AAAAAAAGAGTGGGGATCAAGGTGGAAAAATGGTCCCAGCATTGAACACAAGAGCATTGAGTTGCTTCCAATTGGCTGATTAGAAATTTCCGCAATTGTGGTCATTCAAACAAAACAAGCCAGTAAGGTAACAAACAGGAGATGCATAGTGTAGAGCGGATGTAGATTTGACCAATCAAAGGCCTCCTGTCTGCGGCACTGTCTGCGGTCCCCTACAATATGGGAGAGGTGCAGCAGAGTATCTGCGTAGGGGGCGCAGGCTTGTCTGAGTTTACTGTGACACCTATACAGATGACCTAGTTTTGAAGTATAAAATCAGACTTAAGGCAGGAACCTCTGTGGGAAGAGAGTTAGTGAGTCACTAACCTGGTATTATAGTTCAGTCTGAGTCCAGAGGTAGAGGTTGGTTCTGGCCAACTGGCTGCCAATGTGGCGCAGCGGTTGTCGCAGAGCGAGTTCCAGACACTGATGTATCGGAGGTCAGAGGACAAGCAGGAGATTAGAACCAAGCAGACGGATGTAGGCAGGATAACACAGAGGGTGAAGCCAAAGCCGATGTCAGACACGTGGTCAGTTGTCAGAGCCAGGAGGTCAGAGATCTGGTGAGGTGCCAAACGAGAATCCAAGATGGAGTCAGGAAACAGTTCCAGGTTCCATACACAATGGTGCTGACAGGCTGGGCGAGGCCAGGCAGACTCAGTGGTTGGGAAATGGTTCTGCTCGGTACAAAAGCACGCAGAGATAAGGCAGGAGTCAGAAGACAGGTCAGGCAAACAGATCAGCAGGGAACAAACAGGCTCAGAGGTCGAGAGGCAGAACAGGTAAGGATCAGGCAATAAGAACTCAAGTAAGCTAGAGTAAGTTTCACCGCATGCCTCAAGATAACCTGGCACTGATGGCTGGCCTGAAGACTCGTTAAATAGAGGCTAATGCAGGTGGATCAGATAAACAGGTAATGAGAATTGGGCACAGCTAAGCAGCTGTGTAAAATGAGTGATCAGACCAGGCATCAGTGCTGAGATCATGACACACTTCTGTTAGTTTTAGAGTCTTTCTTTAAAAATACAATGCAGTTAGTCAAATAAGAAAATGTTAAAACCTACATTGTTATAATTAAAATGGTGAAAGGCCATTGTAGGGTGTCCGAAGAGCCTTGCAGGTTGCAGAACCCTGGGCTAGAAGGTCAACTTCTTTATGGACAACTTTTTCAACAGGTGTACATGCACAACATTGTTCCTGTGAAAGCTGTATTTGTTTTTTTGTTTGTTTGTTTGTTTTTTAAATCAACAAAGCAAATAACTGCTTGTACTTTTTATTGCTTTTTACGCTCTCTGCATATCATCTCAGGAGCACATGCATCATTGTGCTCCTGCAACGTCCATCCACAATCTATACCCGCTTATCCTTTCAGAGTAACAGACATGTAAGTTATTTGTCACAGATGTAATGATTTTACATGTGGTCAGGGGCAACACATATGGATATTGAGATACCAAATAAATTAGTTTGTTCTTTGCTTATGTTCAGCTATCCACAGATGGTGTAGCAAAAACTTGTGCTAGCCTTGATCTCTATCTCCCCTCCTCCCACTATTCTTGTCCATTGATGTGATAATGGGGACATATTGATGAAGCTATTGAGTATCCTGGTGACATAAGGGCAAGAGGGGGACACAAACTCTCAACCACCCAGCTAAACTCATTAATCAGATTTCCTCCTACCCCTGATACCACTCACTAGTTTTTTTTTTTTTGTTTGTTTTGTTTTTTGACTCATTTAGCGGGTTACTTCTGTGTAAATCGGTCTTGTATCCCATGTTTGGCTTTACTTTTTATCTAATTTACCGTCGTTATTAGCCAAGACTGTGCATAATTTTACTGTAAAATTGCCTACTTCTATTTAGTATCAGAATACAGGAATATAGTGTTAGAAGCATCTTTAATTTTAAGGAGGAATTTATTATAAGTACCTTATATAATGGGTTTATCCATAGACATATCTTATAGTGCTTAGCAAAACCTTTCAGACTTTTTCTTTGTTTTATTTTTTTACTTACTAATGGGAAACTTAATCTCTTCTTCTTGATATCAAAGTGATTAATATATTTAAAAGGTAAATGATCCATGGCCTTTAATTTCTTTACACTTAGAATTTTTCTAAGCTAGATTTTTCATTTCATTTTTCAGATTTATTTTCATGGTAGAGGTTTTCTTTTTGTTTTTTTTTTAGGTTTTGCACTTAAATTTACCTTTCTGAAACTTTCATAACTGGAGATTCTTCAAATATGTTCTTCATTGACAGGCATGTAAAAAAACAAAAACACAAGTGGTCCTGTTTGCAATTTGCCACAGGCGTAAAAGGGACACAGTGAGGTGGAAGGAGAGTTCTAGTAAGATAAGACCATAACTGAACTTCTTGGCCTTCATGCAAAATGTGTGAGGAAAACCAGCACTAAACATCATCCTGAACATGGGATCTGAATTGAAGGTGATGCAATAATATGCTTTGGTTTTCCTAAGTAGAGACAGGTGACCTAGTCAAAGGGCAAAATGTTCCAGCTTCATTCATAGCAACATTTTTATTAATTAAACTTGAACAAAGAACAATGGGGGAAAAATGTGAGTCTTATTGTGCAAAACAAGTAGAGATATCATGCCTTATTAAAAATCAGCTGTAATGTTAGTGAAAGTGGGTTCTTTGGTATAATTTTAAGAAACTCTTTCAATTTAATTAACAACATAAGAATATGCCGCAGAATATGTGAAAATGGAAGCCAGTGTGTCGATTCTGAACTGCTCCACTTTCATTTCCATAGAAAAAGCCATGTTAGCTAATAATAGAGCACACAGGAAATTATTTTCGGGTGTCTGTTGTCCCCTGTTGTCTCTTTTAAACTACAAAGAAATAGTATGTAAATTGAAGATAATTACCCATATCTTTAATAGATGTATTTGGTCTGTATGGAATGCGTTCATAAGGAGTAAAGAACTTTGCTATACATAAAATAATATTTTAATCAGAATGCAAATCGTAAAAACTAATCGTTACTCACTACTTCGAATGACCTGTTATTGACTGACGGCAGCAGGGAATTAATGCCTGAGCATAGCAAAGAAACGCTTTAGCGTTGCCTTGGGGTAATTGGTGGCTCTGCTGACTATATCATTGACCACTACTTTGTTTCTCTGTGTCACTGAAGATAAAATCATATTTTAAGGCAGCCAAGGGCTTTTTCAGTGGTGCAATATAAATTTTCGTTTAAGAAAACCTGTTTGAGCAGAAGACATAATTTAAATAGTAAGAGTAAATATTTCCCTTTTCTTCTTCAGCAGCTTTGACAGCTGTGTTTGATTTGCAGTCCTGCTATCGATTGTCTAATTAGGACAAATGAAAAATAGCATCTATTAAAAAAAAAGTATCCTAAAGCTTTACTAGGGTAATATGAATCACTTAAGGTCTCATTGGTTTTATTAACTGACAAAAAAAGAAGAAAAAAAAACAAGACCATGGGTACATTTTGAAATTCCCTCTGGATTTGATCTTTGACTCAAAAAATGTCCTTACACTTTTTCAAATTTTTTAATATAATCAAAAAGCGTTTTAGTATATGCAATGTATTCTAATCACATAAACAAAAAATTGCAGGCTGCAAACTTTGCTATTTTAATACAATACCATGTCAACCAGTGATTCTCTAACTCTTGCCAAATATTTTCATTAGTTAATAGGTCAGGATTTAATTGGACTATTTCAATGCCTAAATTTATCCTGAACTAAAGTATTGCAGTACAACAATAGCTATGAGTTTTGCATTGTGGTCCTGCTACTAGTTTAACCTCCACACATGCAATTTTAAGCCTCTGTTTAGCTTTTACAATTAGTCTAATGCATCTCTCTCCATGATAAAGAAACTAGTCATGATGCGGTGGGAAGGTGTGTTCAAAGTCATGTGGAATAATAGTTTTCATGTTTCAGCACAAAAGGCTTTTTGATGGTTTTAAACCAAGGTTGAAGTTATTTGTAGATGTTGGCTTTTTAAACTGGGCTACATCAGGTTATTTTTCATGAGGGAATTTTAATGGAAATATGTTTTAAATTTAACTTTTTTATATATATTTGAAGAAGTCATTATTTTCATAAAAAAAAAAAACAAACATAAAACACCCCAGACTATTTGAATTAGTTCATTGATTCATGTTTTTACTTTTTCCTGCTGTAATGTCAACAACATTCCAGAAGAGGTCACTAGATGGTCAAGAACAGCTTCTGTTCTGCTTTCATTCAGAAACCAGAGAGAATTAAACTTTAAGCTGCCGTTAATCGAAATCTTTTATTTGGTTTTACCAAAATGAAGACAAAAGAACACTAAATGTTTAGAGTTGCCATTTCAGATGTTGCAACTAGTTGAATATCACTGCCCTCCAGGACAGCACTGCCCATAAGCTGATAGTTTCATACCTAATTGAGCAAACTAAGAAAAATAGAAATAGTGTGACCTGCATCAGTTTGCCAACCGCAGACCCTCTAAATTACTGGATTGTGCATTACAAGTTGTTTTGTAGTCCCACAGAGCATTCATTAATATCCACAGGGAGTGCCGAGACTCCGCCTTCCTTTCCCAGCCTGTGGAGTGGTGGGAACAGGGTACTGGGCAGCCCAAAATGCTCCACTATTTTTACCACTCTGTTCAATCAGAGGGCTGTTCCCTCGAGACCTGTTGCCGGCAGCTCTCCCAAAGCGGTGGAATTTAACCCTAGGATAGCCCCACCCCCAGATGTGATGGAAAACATCTGGCCAGCTGCTTGACTGCAAGGATTGGCCATCAAGCCCTAAACGCTTCCAAACCAGACCTCCCTTGATGCTGATAAATAGCAATCAAAGACTAGAATTTAGTGTTGGGATGTGGGGTACATTATAAAGGACAATCCATGTATATTACACGTATAAGATATTTATATATATATAAAAAAAAAAAAAAAAAAACAATCTCAGGATAACATTTATTGTTGATCTTTATTAATTTAAAAATACCTGCAAATGTTACAATGAGTTCTACTAAAATATTGTTTTTCCATGTTCTGTTTTAACACGGGTTAACATTAGGCACACAAGAATGCAGACATTTTGCAGCTCTAGCCACTGTTTAAATACAGATTATTTATGAAGAGGAGCAAAGATGTTACAATATAAACAACAAAGTTGAAGAAAACCCATCAGCGCAATCACCCCTCTCCATGAAAGTTACACCCGACTCTACATGACTAAAAGAAAAAAAAAAAAAAAAATTGAACCCCAAGACCAGACAAACTATTCTGGCATTTCATCTTATGGACATGCATAAAAATAAATTATTGCATTCTAAGATGCTCTAAATTCAGCTTTGCTTTCTGTCAATCGTCCACTTGGAATGTGTACAAAAAAACAAAACGGGTAAAACTCTTTAGATAAAGAATTTGTCAACAAGTCAGAAGTTTTCTCAACTAGCTTCTTCATTTAGTATAAGAATGCCAGATTAGCTCAGGATTTGTGTAATACTGTGAAAAAATAATTATACCTACACCGTTTTATGTCTGATTTGGACAGATTGTTGCAGAATAGTGATTCATTTTGACAAGAGACAGAGGAATGAGAGACTCTATGCTTGTCACAATCATATGCTTCAATGTGACATCAATGCAAATATGTTTTAAAGTTTATCAAGGTTACACTAGCATACTGTACATTGGTCAATTGTTTTTGAGTTTGTAGTAGAGATGATACTAGTCTTCTTTGGTCTTGGCCCATTTCAGACAGTTAGCGTTACCCTCCAGAATCAAATAAGGGCTAGAGCCAACAGCTTGTCTTATAAGAGTTAAAGCTTTAAAACAGGGTTCCATGGTATAATCACACAGGTAACATGGTTGGGTGGTACAATAGCCACAGCAGTTTTCAATCATATTCCTGATCAGTTTGTGTTGGTAAAAATAGCACAGAGTTGTGAACAAATTTATAATAAGGGGTTAAATTGAAACTATAAATTTCAGTTTTTACACTATTAGGATTACTGGTGTTCCATCTGATAACCGTAATTTCCTTTGTAATTAATCCTTTGTTTTGTTTTTTGGATAATACAAATCAAACATCACAATTTAACATCACTACCATAAACTGTAAGCTTGAAGGGCTAAAGGGTTTTTAATAAGTAGAGGTATAATTTGGTTTTGGTCCCTCTTTGCTAACAAACGGATTAAGCCTCCCGGTCCAACGAGATTTGTGTTAAATGAATATGCAAAGAGTTTATTGTAAAATATCCAATGCTTCTAACCATTTTACCCCACATCAAAACTCCTCAAATACAAATTTGGTCTGTTCCCTTGTAAAGTAAAATGCAAGCCAAAGTGGTTCAAAGATTACAATAACTAAAGCTGTAGTGGCAAAAAACATCTGCAGCAGTAATGCATATTAAAATAAAGAATCTAATGTCCGTGTCCATGTCATTACTACATCCTATAAAGCTATATACAGCTTATGGCACAGGAAAGGGTACTGTCAGAAAGATAAACACAATATTGCACACAAAATTTGCAATGGTATCAATGGTTTGGGAGGAACCTTTCTTTGGGGGAAAAAATCTTTGGAACCAATGTTGGTTCAACCAGGCCTAATGTTTTTTTCTGCTTGAAATATCCGTTAACTTAAATCCAGTAAACATTTACTCAGATTGAATAATGACTAGAAATTCACCGATGGCTGTAGTGGGAAGAGGAAATGCATTTGATCATGTGTAGTGCAATCAAAACCATTTTATTTTTGGCATCAATATAAATAGGATCATCACTCGTATAGTAATGCGTTTACACCTGTTTAATGGCACATAGGATTGAATACAAAGTGTTCTACAATTATTTAGCAAATTACAGTTTACTTATCACAACTGCCCTCTGTGCTGTAATACAAGAAAAAACATACAATCAATGCAATTTTGGGTCAGGACCTCAGATTGTTAGAGGCAAAAGCAAGTGCAGTATTCAGGTTTGTCAAATAACTAAATGTGACAGACTTGAGCCCAAATCCTGTGTCAAAGCTCATCTCATATTTTTAAGCCATCTTTCTTGCCAGCATCAGAGCAGCTTAAAAGCAGATGAGTCTGAACCATTTGAGGCTCAAGCTCTTCTATTAGTTCTTTTGACATATTCTCTGAAGACTAATTTACCATGGAAAAGGAGTCACCGCGTCGAGTATTCAAAAGTTGTGTGAACTCTGGCATCAGCTCTTTAACACCAAGTTTCTGTGGCATGCAACCCTTTAGTGAGGGCTTTCTTTGCCCCCCAAAATTGAAGCCATTATTACAGCTATAGTGGTACCATGGTAAATCTGATAAGGAACACCACAAGTCAGATAAAAGCCCGTGTTTGGGCTCAGGGTTGGCACAAGGGTGGTGATTGTCAAGTCCAGATAACTTAGGTGACAAGTCTTCCCTTTATACTTTATGGCGATGTGGGTACAGACACTTCCAGCAGGCGGTTGTTTTTGCGTTTGCAAGACACACTGTTGCCGTTTTTGGGACTGCCTTGGATGAATTTTACACACACTTTGTCCTGTTTGAACTGCACCAAAAACCTGCAAGAAAGA